TTTTTCTGTTCAATTTCCAGGTAATAATATGCAAAGCAGCTGTGCTATGGGAGATAAAGAAACCCTTTTCCATTGAGGAGGTGGAGGTAGCACCCCCTAAGGCTCATGAAGTCCGTATAAAGGTGAAACACTTTTTTCTCTTCTATTGAATTTTAGGTAAGAGAATTCTCAGAGAATAGTACAAATGGAAATAACAAAAAGTTTATTAAGAAGCACTTATTTTTAAGAAGCACTTATTTTTAGTCCTCATGCGAGGATATGTTTGTTTGTTCATTGATTTGAGAGGGAGGAAAAGGGAGAGAGAGAGATGAGTTGAGAGAGAGGAAAAGGGAGAGAGAGAGAGAGAGAGAGAGAGAGAGAGACAGAGAGAGACAGAGAGAGATCTCAATCGGTTGCCTTGCCTCCTGTACATGCCTCAACCAGGGATAGAACCAGGAGACCTAGGTAAGTGCCCTAGGTAATCCAAACAGTGGAATTACATTTCTTGTCAAGGAAAGATAAAAATACAAATTGCTAAACTTTTAAAAATAGGACAGACGGTCCCTCAGCCCAACCTGTACCCTCTCCAATCCGGGAGCCCTCAAGGGATGTCCTACTGACAGCTTGGGCCCACTACCCATGGTTCTCTGCTCTCTGCAGGGCCTGCCTGCTCCACACCACGGCGACAGGCAAGCAGGCCCTGCTGGGTGCTGCCTGTGGGCCACACTTGTCTGCTCGTGGGTCGCTGTGGCGATGCCTGCTGGGCTCACATTGCCGGGGTGACGCTGGCAGCGTCCTGCCCCGGCCGCTATGGGCACCGCCATGGGCACCACCATCTTTGTCACAGAGTGATGGTTAATTTGCACATTACTCTTTTATTAGATAGGATACTATTTTTTTGTCTCATTTAATTAGTTTTGGCCTTGAATTTTTCTTAATCTGATTATAATATTGCAGCCATGTGTTCTTTTTTTTAAATTTCATTAAACACTTTTTTCATCTTTGAAACAAAAACAAATGGACGCAAGTGTTGAAAATTTCCCGTGGAGAAAAAAAACAATCCAGTCATACAAACAAAGCTCAATCAGCTTATTTTGTGAGATGAACCCTACCAGAGTCATTTTAGTTCAAAATTTCCCAAAGGTTGATATGAGGCAACTCCTGACCAACTTTTTATCATATAGGAAAATTGCAATATTATCAGTTTTCTGTAAATCTGGCATTTACAGAAAATTGATTTCTCAGTCCTTGTGTTTTGCTTTCCTGATGGCAAATACATGAGATTTCTGTCTTTATATCCCTCAGTTCCATTTTAGATTAAAATTCTTTCACAAGAATAAAATAAAAAAGAATTGATATATTTATACAGGAAAAACTGCAAAAAAAATATATATATACAAACATATATATAATAATCAAAAATTCAAAATCAATTAGCATTACATGGTGGAACTTAACTGACTTAATTTTCTTGGTGCTAATCTGTAGTTTCTACTTCTATAAAAAAGAATGCATTCTTGTTTATTACATAAGACTTAAATATTTGAAAAATAATTATTTCATAGATTACTCTGGTTTGCCTAAGGCAAGGGAGGAATGTATAGGAGGGTTTTAATCTGAGTCATCTTGAGAAGCAGGATCTTGTGTATTTGGTTAGAGTAGAGATTACTAGAAAAAATCCTTGAAAACTCTCCAAAAGCCCAACTTCAGGAAATTGGGCGTGTGAAGTCCATCTGAGGGCCACAATTTTTCTGAACCTAATTATCCTCCCTTTACCTTGTAGATGGTGGCCACAGGAGTCTGTCGGTCAGATGACCACGTGGTTAGTGGAAACGTAGTCACACCTCTTCCTGTGATCGCGGGCCATGAGGCAGCTGGCATTGTGGAGAGCATTGGAGAAGGGGTGACTACAGTAAAGCCAGGTATAGAACTCCTACTGGGAGAAGGTACTGTTCAGGACCCCAAGATCACCCAGCCTGGGTGATGAAACTGAAGCAATGAGACATGCAAGACCTTGCCGAGGGCAGCAGCACAGCTAGGGCTTGAACAGAGGTCTCCTCCTTTTCTGCCCCCTTCCTGCCTCAGACATGCAT